TCGGGCTGAGGATGATCACATGTGGGTGTGTCTGTGACTGCTTTACATGTGGGTATGTGTGTGATGTCGGTCTTAGGATCCGCACATGTGGGTGTCTCTGTGACTGCGTTACCGGAGCCTGGTGGTTGTGTGATTGCGGGTTTAGGAGCGTCACATGTGGGTGTGTGTGTGGCTGGAACGGGGGCGTCGCACGTGGGATGACGGGCGTGGTAATGACGCGGTCGGTCTGCGTTGGCTGAAACATTGTGCCCTGATGAAGCCTGGTTTGTGGTAGGAGCATCCGGGGAACTACTGTGCCCATTGTGGCCCCCCATAAACTCTTCAACGAGTATTTCCAAATAGTGCTCCTTGACGTTTTCCCATTCGGGTGCTGCGCATTCGTTGTGCACTTCTAGATGTAGCTCGATGATCGTGCGCTTATGCACTCGTGGTGGGCGTCGTCGTCGGGCGGCGGGCAATCTGCCGGGCCGCCTATCCCTAATCATCGTGTACCCGTAATCGGGTGGTGGCGCGCCGCGTTGTAAATGCTCTAGAATTTCGTCGTCGAGTGGCGGTGACGGCACGTCACGCACTGTTCGAAACTTTCGTCGTCGTTGTTTTCCGAGGTACGCAAAGTACTAAGCAAAGAAAAAGGTGGTGGGTGGGGAAGGTAGGAGTGCAGTTGTGTTGGAATGGTCTTCAGAGCCCGCTTAGAAACAAAATGCTATGGTACATATGACGGATACGCATACACGGTGTCGCGTCGTATGTGGTTGTGTGCGTGTTGTGTGTGCGTTTGTGTGCGAGCTTACTTTGCCAAGGAAAAAGAGCAGAATAAGGGAAGTGACAAATGCAAAGAAGATAAGAACGGGGGTAGACAGGAAAATATCCTTTGCAGTGAAGATGGGGGGGACAGTATTGTCGGGGTTCTTATCGGGCCCCTTACCCTTTGTATCGTGGTAAACCAGTGGGGGTATACCTTCGACAAAGGCACCGCCAACTGTACCAAGTACAGCAGTGCCAGGATTATTTGGGTCAAGGCCAAAGGGATCATCAGCAGTTTTATGTGTCTTATCATCTGCACCTCCTGTATTACCAGCGCCATGACCAGTAGAAGCTGGTCCAGATGAGCCCGCTTCACTGGGGTCGCCGCTGCCGCTCGACCCTGCCTGATCGGGGTTCGGGTCCGGTTTTGGTTTGGGTGGATTGAGAGGAGGGGGGTCTTCTTGGCCTCCGTCAACGACGGCAGTGCCGGCGGGATCGCCATCGTTCTTATCAGTCTTAGTCCCGTCTGGTCCTGTTCCTGTTGATGATGTGGTCGTGTCAGATGATGGTTTTCCTGGTGCTGATGTAGTGGATGGGTCTATCTGTGCAGGTGGGGGTTCAGGTACTGGTTGCCTCGCTCCTGAAGAGCAGTATAGAAAAAAGTAGAAGCAAGAAAAGTGAATTCCAAGTACGCGCAGCACAGGGTGTAAAGTCCCCCTATTTTCTCCAACACCTTTTTTGTTTTTTTTTTTTTTTTTTTTGCTTTTTCCTCTCATGCCCACTCGTATGTGCTTCGCACATAGACAGTGTGTGTGTGGGAGGTTGCCCACACGGTCGGCTGACAACGGTTGTTGTCTGTACTGTCCCCGCTGATGCTGGTTGCGACGCGCTTGGCGGTGTTTGTGATGCGTCTTGGGGTTGTTGCGGTGGACCCGGTATGGTTGCATCATCCGCGTTGTTCTCACCTGAGTATGAAGAAAGAACAATGAACGTGAAGGTACAGGAACGGAGGTCCGCATGGTCATGGCGGGCCACCGCGCGGGTGACGAGACAGGGACGGTGCGCAGAGAACGGGGCAGCAGACGGACGGCGGAGACGGTGCCTGCGTTAGGGGCCGGGGGTAGGGTGCCACCCCGGGGAAAAGACTCTCTCTCTCTCCCACCCACAACACAACACACACAGTGTGTGTGTGTGTCGGCGTCTGTCCGTCGACGTCTCTACGCCTCTGTACCTGGCGCTCACTCTCATTCGACGTTTGGTTTCTCTCTCTGGCGCTCTGCGAGATGTTCTCGCCGGAAAAGTTGTTTCTTTTTTTTTTTTTTTTTCTTGCGCTAATAGTGCACGGGACATACACGCACAGGATGTGTGACTGCACCCCGCGGTGCACGTTACTCTCGACTGGGGTAGTACACTCCGGAATCTTTGGACTATTACTACCTGAGCAATCCTTGGGGTCCGAAGAAGGGACGAACGAGACAGACACAGTTAAGGTACCTCCCCCTACATGTCTCGTGTGGGATCCGCCTGCTGCAGGGCATGTTGGTTTGGACTTATCCTTACCTGCTTTCTCTGATCCGCCTTCTATTGGCCCTGGTGATGCCCGTGATGGTGCTGCCGGTTTTGTGTCTGCAATGAAGGATGGAAGAAAGATGATAAAAAAAACAAAGGTCACCAGTGGTACAGAACGAAGGGGGCGCGACGGTGTGGTGTGGTTCGATCAGGTACCGGCAGGGTAGGGTCGGCTGCATGGGTGGATGCAGTGGGTCGATGCAGTGGGTCGAGGTGCAATCGGTGGACTGGACTCGATGCACTGGGTCAGGCGGCAGCAAGCGTACGGTGAGGTGACCTCGGTCGACTGGGTCGTGCTGGATGGTAGCAGTACAACTTTTATTGGTCGCCGTCATGTCGTCCGCCGACCCGTTCCGTCCGTCTCCGGTGCCTCGTCCTGTGCCTTGTCACCGCTACAGTTGCCGTCGTGGCCGTCACGCCCTCGTCGCCGCTGCACGGTACGCTCGTCTACACAGTGGCCAACGCTGCCAACGGTACGCTCGTCGCGCCCGTCATGGCCGATCAACGTCAACGACAACATCAATACTGCTGCCGTCGTGGCTGCCGTGTGCGTTGTTCCACTTCGTGTGCGTGTTTGTGGCCGTTGTGTTTGCGGCATGCGTGCGCAGTCGTACGGATCGTAACGTTAACGGCCGTACGGGTATTCGTATGCATGTCCGTGTTGTTACGAAGCGTATTCCTACCATCCATACTAGTCGTATGCGTACTCACATGGGCTATATTGGTATGCCGAGTGCTTTTACCCTTGCTTACCTGCTATGTCTTGAATTTTCTGTTCCACTACCTTTGTAACCTTTTCAATAGTTTTCATCGCCTCCTCCACTATCTTCTTTGCCGCGTTCTTTATATCAGTGATTTTGTCTTCGTCCACGCTTCCAGTACCATCGTGCTTCAGCTTGTATTTTTTATACTCCTTCCACTTCATATTACAGTCAGCCCCATCTTCTATTTTGTCCAGTCCCTCCAATATTTTCCCTTCCTGCAGTAACCACTCTACTACGTTCCAATTTATTGCTCTTGACCACCTTTCATACCCTTGGTATCCACATGCTGTGCACTTGCCTGCTGTAACAGGACCATTCATGACGCTTGCTTCCGTTGTGCCTGTGCTGTGCATGTTCTGGAATGCTATCCGGGAATACTCTACACCTCGTGTCCAGTTTTGCTGTGTCGGACAATATTTTGTCTGCAGTAAGTGTCCAAATATATTTGCGACTTCACACTTTCGCATATTCTGCCTCTCCTGCTCCTCCGTGTTTCCGCTTCTACCAATGGTATTATCCGGGCCCCACCCATTTGCAAAGCCCCATGCAACGCTCATAACTCTGCACCTGACTACGTCTGCTACTTTTTGGCCCATGTAATACTCTGTCGGTGCTCTTATATCATCCCAACCTGCATTATCACAGTTTGCACCATAGTCATTCGCGTGCTCTTTCTTTTTATCCATATATTCCTTAAAATCTTCCAACACTTGCTTCCACTTGTTCCATTCGTCCTTCTACGTGTGGCATGTGAACATACAAAAGTCCTCATGAGCACGTGCTACCTATGTTATTCGCCCTCAATGCATGTACACCGTGACATATACATGCATGTAAGCGTATGAATAAATTGCTGGTCTGTTTGTTGTTACTGTTTCCTCGCCATCCGTGCTGTCGCGGTTTAATCTAACTTACATTAGGTAGGGGCACCACGTACACTGTACGCGCCTTGTGCTGCCGTGCTCTGTCTGCATCACACTCCACTACATTGGCCTTGGTCCCGTTCTCGCCTGCGGCAGCACCCTTACCAGCCTGACCACCAGCAGCAGCTGATGACGTCGCCCCCGGTGTCACCGAGGGTCCCGGTGTCGCCGCTACTGGTTTGGCAGGGCTGCCGTGGTCAACAGGGGCAGGTTTGGCGGCGGCTGGCTTTGCAGCAGTGGCAGGCTTACGTGGATTCACTCTGTCCTTCACTGCCTCGACCCCCTTCCTTATCTTCTGCTCAATTTCACATTTCTTCTTGGACGCCCCTTCTTTGTGCATGTCGTCTAACACCTTCTTCAATTGCGGAAAGGTGCCAGCTGTGTCCACCCAGTCCTTTATGTGCGTCATGAGCGGATCGTCCGGTGGTATCACCACGTCGTTCTGATTGCATTTTGCATCACTCGTGGGATCCCCGTCTTCATCAGTGCCTTCTGCATTGTCCCATCCACATTTTCTTGGTGCTTGCCCAGCGCTTCCTCTTGCTGGCGTCAAGCGTTTACGCAAAGGCTCTAATCGATTCTGTAGAGCCGTTCCCATACGATGTGACTGGAATATCACCTTTCCCCAATCTCTGTTCTCACATATTCCACTTTCAAGTGTGTGCTGCATAAATGTTTTACCTGGTGTTAATTCGTCTTTAACCTTATTCATTACGTCCACATGATCACGAGTGCTCCCATAGACTCGTACTAAGGCCTCTCCTGCTAGCACACATCTTAAATATTCCTGAAAGGCCGTCCAATCTGCCTGGTGTACTGTCCGTGTCTGCAATGCTTGAGTCTGTGTTAAATCATACCCTTTCATGTACAGCAGGATTTTCGTAATCTCTTGACACCTGTTCTTGCATAATCCATCATCCCCCGTATTATATATACTTCCACAGAAGCCAGCGATGGGGCCGCTGCTGGCACCAATTTTCCTGATTAACTCATTGAATATGTCATCAACCTCACTGAGCATGTTTTTCTGTAAGTGGAATAATTCATGCATGTATAGTGCATAATTCGGCGTACTCTTATATTTTGCGGCCCTGCCATATGCGTCCTGGGTGATGTGTGCAGTGTGTGTGTTTTTTGCCGTTGCCCTTCTACATACTTCACGCACTTGCAGGATACGTGTATAAATAGCTCGCGCGCGCCTTTATTAATGCATTTGTTACGTACACATGCGCCGTGCCTTCTTACATGTATTATTGCTGCTCTGTGTCTGAACGTCCTGTATAGTTGAACTTACCCAATATGCCTGTCCGTCGTGTATTTGCCATTGCTGTAGATAATGCTCCCATGCCCCTAGAAAGGGCAGTATGTCCGTGGCATAGCCCTCGAGCATATGGATCACGTTTTAGTCCCTTCCTAGAAAAAGTACAGTACGACTACTACTACTACTACTACCTGTACTACTGCTACCACTGCACCGCTCAATAACAACAACAACAAAAAATATACACACACCCCGTCTCCGGGTCACCCCGTTCTCCGTCACAGCGTTCTGCGTCACCCCGTCTCCGTCAACGCCTCTCCCGTCAACACCTCCCCCCTCAACGCTCCTTCCTTCAACGCCGTCTCCGTCACCCCGTTCTCCGTCACCCCGTTCTCCGTCAACGCCTTCTCCGTCAACGTTTCTCCCGTCAACGCTGTCTCCGTCACACCGTCTCCGTCAACGCTTCTCCGTCAACGCCTCTCCCGTCAACGCCTCTCCTGTCACGCCCCGTTGTCCGTCAACGCCTCTCGTGGCACCCCGTCCCCGTCAACGCCTCTCGTGGCACCCCGTCCCCGTCAACGGTTCTCCGTCACCCCGTCTCCGTCAACGCCTCTCCCGTCAACGCCTATCCGTCACCCCCTTCTCCGTCACCCCGGCCCCGTGAACGCCGTCTCCGGGTCACACGGTGTGCGTCAACGCTTCTCTCGTCAACGCCTCTCCCGTCACCCCGTTCTCCGTCACCCCGTTCTCCGTCACCCCGTTCTCCGTCAACGCCTCTCCCGTCAACGCCTCTCCCGTCAACGCCTCTTCCGTCAACGCTGCTTCGTCACGCTTCTGGAAGTCGTGATAAATACACAAACTACTACTTGTTGTCTGGCGCCGTGCGCCTTCCGCTGTGGTGCCGTCCGTGTGCTTCCTTGTAGAAGAAGAAAGGAAAAAAAAAAAAAGTACTACTACACTACCGTACACACACAACGCATCATGAAGATACACCCCTTAACAACAACACCCGTTCTCCACTAAACGCCTGGCACACACACTGTCTCTCTGTGCGTGCACTAAACCCGTTGTACCTAAAAACCGCAGTAACAACATCAAATTCTTCTGCCGTCGTTGCCGCCGTCGTTGACGCCGTTCGCCTGCCCACAAAATATGTGTGTTCCGGCCTCCGCTCCCGCTGTCTGGATCCGTCCGAGGCTACTGCTGCGGATCGTGCACTCAAAGCGATTACTCTGAGACAATCTTTCCCTCCTTTCTTACACTCGGCTACTTCGTCGAATCGTTGTTACAATCGGCAGCGTTGCTCGACGCGTTTGCTCGGAGAGACAATGTGTACCTTCTTACACGCGGCTACTTCCTCGAACCCCTTCACTCGAACCGCATTAGTCGGAGACAATCCTCCTCCTTTCGTACACTCGGCTACTGCGTCGAATCCGTGTTATACGCAGCGGCGTTTGCTCGGAGAGACAATCTGTCCTCCTTCTTACACTCGGCTACGTCGTCGAACTGCGTCACTCGGACAGTCGTGTTTATGCGGCCACGTTTGCGCGGATAGACCAGCTCTCCCTCCTTCTTAAACGCGGACAAGCCCGTTTACCCGGCCGCGTTTGCTCGACGCGTTTGCTCGGAGAGACAATGTGTACCTTCTTACACTCGAGCCGCTTTGGTCGACGCGTGTGCTCGGAGAGACAATCTCCTTACACTCGGCTACCGCGTCGACAATGGGTTTACGCGGCCGCGTGTGCTCGGAGAGACAATCTCTCCTTATACGCGAAGGCGTATGCGCATTCTATATGAGTTGTACACTGTACCCGTAGAATGCAGTTGCTCAGCTTTTAATAATTAACTTCACATAAAGGAGAATACTACGCCTTCATGTTATTCAGTTAAATCTACATTGTATATGCATTTAACCGGTACCACCCTGTTCCTATGGTCATGTTAAAAGAAGTTGACTACACAGAAAAAGAACAAAACAAAAGCAAAAGTAAGCACAAGTAAGCAGAACAGAGCAGAAAAAAAAAAAAGACGGTATGGAATAGTGCAAACCCGAAATATATTACGTATATACCATAATGAAATAAAAGTGGTGTACGGTTAGCATGCGTTATGTCGCATTCATATGCCCCGTCATTCTAATTTCAGAGCTGGTCCAGCAGTTCATCCACATATAACTCGTTCTCCTGCAGACGGCTTTCGAGCTCGCACTGTTCTATGACTAATGCCAGGATCAGTATCCATATTTTAGCGCATAATGTTTTTTTCATGTGAGGTGACCGATGCAGTTGCGTGCATGGTACATCTCTCACTCGTAGCATATCTTCTGTTCCCATTACGTGTTCCACGTCGAAGTCTGTGTCAACGCCAGGGCCTTTGCCTTTTTCCGGTACTGTCGCCTCCTCGATATGGACCAACAAATGTGGAAACCACTCCTCCTGGCCATACATACAAATTTGCCGATGTTGTTGGGCAACCCATTGTTTCCACAACCGCAGTTTCGTGCTTTCCATGGTTGCCGCTGCACCGAGTTCACTACGGTCGCACACTTCGTCTGCCGCCATGTGTGTACGCAGGTATTGTTTCCAATCCGCTTTCAATTGCAAAAACCACGGCTGCGTCGTGCATTCCCGCAGAATATGTGTGTTGCGGTCAATCCAACGCAGCCACGTGGTAGTGTGGGATCTGGTTATGTCTGTGATGTCGGGCTTAGGATCCGCACATGTGTGTGTGTCTGTGACTGCGTTACCGGAGCCTGGTGGTTGTGTGATTTCGGGCTTAGGATC